CAACAGTGGAGAGTTAAGTTGGTATGATGATGAAATGACATTGTTTGGCATGAAAAAGGACATAAGATACTATATTTTAACCCAGTCAATAAACATATTTCAAACCAAAACTAAAAGTCAAGGGTATGCAGTAGTTATTATGTTATATAATGCTTTATCTATATTAATTGCTATCAAATATTCTGAACACGTTATGCCCAATTCAATAACACATAAATAAATCAAAACTTACTATTTCTAATACAAGTTGGTAAAAAACACCTTGACATTTCCACTAAAATAGTGAGGTTAATAAAAAATAAAGGAATACAAGGAAGCGTTGGTATGGAGTACGTGGATGCACGTCTTACTTCTTAAAGCCCTCCGAAACAAAAAAAAAAATAAAAAATAAAAAACCCTCCGAAATTTCTGTTAAAAACCTTATTGTATATTTTAAAATTGGTCTGGGGGTCTAATTTACCCCTTTATTCATAATAATTATAAGCTTCTACAATTCTATTTTAACTATATGTCAAATTGGGGATTTAACTCAAAAGAAAGAGACAAAACAGTTCAAGGTTTATGAGAGGTTTGATATTTTTATGAATGAAAGAGAGAGAGAGAGAATCTAAATTAAACAAAGCTTGTAATATGGATCGTAGATAACTGATTAATGTACTTAAAAAAAAATTAATAGTTAAATACATACCCTTTATACGTATAAAACATCTAGACAAATATAATCAGATATACTCATGACTACAAATGCATGTATCGGGAACCTGAGACCATGGGGCTTACCATGAAATGAAATTCCGAAGTTTCGGACTCAATTTCGTGTTTTTGCTCATACCTAAATCGACCCAGTAAATGGAGTTCAACATTTCGTTCGTCATAAATCCTATCATAAAAGTCCAAAGGAAAAATATTTTAATATTTTTAATGTTTTTAAACGGTAAGTATTATGTAATTTTAACATCAAATTTGTGTTTCGTTCGGCTCCGAAATTTCGGAAAACATTTTATAATAGGCCTTCATGTCACCAAAAAAAATTATACAAGATTGTGTGTAAACAAAATAAAAAACATAATTAAGATTGTGTTCCACAAAAAATAGACATCAATCGTGGCAAAACCAATTATTTACATTTAAAAACTAAACTACTAAGTCGATTTTGATAAAATTTATATGGCACCAATCTGTTAGTAATCTTTTCAAATAAGAAAACGAATTTTTCAAATCTATTTGTAACTCACGGTGTTTTTTTTTAATGTATGATAATGGAACGGTAACCACACCCGCGCTATCGGTATACACAGGCGGGGCACCAGTGAAGGATGATAGGTGAGGATGAAGTAGGTCAGTTAGCCCATCGTGACGAATTCAACAAGATTTGTTCACGATGGTTTCCAGGAGGAACCACGTGGAGGTCGACCTAATAAGGCATATTGCTAACAATGGGGCTGTCAAACTCCATTGCTAACAATCCCTTTCCCTAACTGACGGTGTTATGAGGTTACTAAAAACATAGCCAAATTACCTTCTTTTTACAGTCAATTGAAAAGAAATATAATCAAGTGTAAGATGGCCAACGGTGACGTCATTAAATATTTCCCACAGACAAAGTAACGAGTAGTATCAATTGTATGGCTGAGTAATAAAGAATCCATTGCAAGTACCCAATGTATTTTTGGCAAGTTGCCAGGATTGTAGTGGCAAAAAATAGCTAAAGAAAAAGCTGCAGACATATTGCGTATAACTTTCTTGAAAATCAATCGCAATTGAATGAATAAATGTATAAATGTTTGATGGCAAGATATATAGGGTATAGGTAACTACCTAATCCGGTAAGCCGATTTTCAACAGACTTCAAAAGGGGGGAAAGGGATTGTTAATAATTGAGACTGAGAATCCCATTGCTAGCAATATACCCAACCAGGTCGACCTCCTCGCGGTTCCCCCTGGAAACTATCATGGGTAATTCCTGTTGAATTCATCATAATAGGCTAACTGGCTTGTTTTCATTCTCATCTATCACCCTTCAATGGTGCTTAGCCAGCGTATCCCATTAGCGCAGGCGGGGTTACCATACCATTTTCACCCATCAAAAAAAAAACAGACTTCAAAAAAGTTATCAATTTGGTTGTATTTTTTTTTTATATTTATTACCTCATAACTCTGTCAGGTGTAAACCGCTTTGCAAATTATTTCTTTATCTGAAAGGATATACTTACAGTGTTATTATTTTATTATTATTATTTCAGCCGTTAACTGTCCACTGCTGAATATAAGTTTTCCCAATAAGAGGAGTTTCGCCAGTAGTTGCCACGTTTGGCAGGCGGGTTGGCAACCGTAGTTAGGTTTTTAGAGATGTCTTATGAGGGGCGCTGCTACCCATCCCTCGCCTTCCCTTAGTTATTCTTTCGACACCCACGGGAAAGGAAGGGGTGGCCTATTGTGTGACGGAGCACACACGGCAAACTTACAGATTGATACCATAGAAATTTTATCAATAATCGATTCAGTAGTTTAGTTTTAAATATTTTTTTTTCAAGTTAGACTGTTTTTTTTTTTTTTCATGCATGGCCTCTGATTTCTCCGTCAATTGATGACCGACTTCAAAAATTCTTTTTTTATAATATTAATATAGATTTAAATATATTAAAACCAATTCATTTACTTTTTACTTTCTTCATACCTGGAGTAAATTCAAAATTAGAATGTTTCCTGTGACGAACGTAAAATTTTGTCCATGTTAGTTTGGAGTTTACTGGCGAATAAACGTCGATTTGTTGTGGCAAAAGTAAAAGGAGCTCTGCCAAATTGATTAGCATATAGTTAGTTTGCATATAGTTAATAACCCAATAATGTCCTGCAATTTGACTTGCTAAATAAACTTTCTGCGTGAGTAAGCTAATAGTCGGAAGTAATTTTTCCGGAAGTCGAATTAGACATGCATGGCCGAGAGTGATGTTTCGCTAGTTAATTAAAACTCGCCTGTTTATGTCACACAAAATTGTCGAAGTGATTTAGCAACCTCAAAAAATCTAAAATTCACCTCAATCAGACATCTTTTTTTTTCTAATTTTACTTTATACTAGTTCAACTCGCGACTTCGTCCGCGTGTCCGCACATCATGAATATCAACAGAATACACTATGATGCTCACAGTGGCATCATGCGTTTCCTTTCCTTATATTATGTGTGAGGGCGTCAAACGAGCATGTAGTTCAGTTGATGGTAAGTGATCACCGAACCCCATGACCACTGGGGGGGAAGGATTGTTAGTAATTGAGACTAAAGGTGCTATTAGTAGCAATATACCCATCAAGGTCGACCTCCACGTGGTCCTGGAAAAAATCGTGCTGAATTCCAGGTTTATTCATCCCGATGGACTAACTGACCTACATTTTCACCGGCACCTATTTTTCTTCACTGGTGCCCCATCAGAGTATATCGTTAGCGCGGACGAGGTGACCATTCCATTGTCATCCAATAAAAAAAAACATGAATACTAACTACACCAGGGGAGTCGCCAAAGCTTTGGCCTTTATCTATACTTATAATAAATATGTAGAGAAGTCAATTCTGTACATGAAATATATTTCCAAAATAACTATCAGGCGGTGATTAGTGATCGATACTGATGTCAAAAATGCAATCAGTAAAATTTTTGTCTGTATGTTCGTTATAGAAACAAAAATTACTCGACGGATTTTAACGAAACGTGGTACAATTATTCTTCATACTCCTGGGCAGATTATAGTATACTTTTCTTCACACTACGATCAATAGGAGCAGAGTAGTGAAGGGAAATGTTGGGAAAACGGGAGAAGTTAGTCCATTTTTAAACTTCTGTCGCGTGTGCAGCCTTAATGGCCACTTTTTAGAATGTAAAAATGTCCATCCATGCGACGCCGGGACGGGCCGCTAGTACTAAATATATACACTATACTATACTGCGTGCATTGTAATTTCATTGCTATATCTACCCTCCAAATTAAATAACGGCCATGTACCTAAACACAACTGTAAAACTGTAAATTGTTCCTTGAACAATGTTCCACGCTGAGCTTCGACCTTTTTGTATTGCTGCAGATCACACATAATAACACAATTTTATAAATCTTATGTTGTTTTATGTATTATCTATTCTTATGTACATGTTGTGTGTGATTAGTAACAAACAAATAAACGATATATCTATCTATCTATCTAAAATTTAAATCTTTAAAACCGTGTTTAACAAGTACTCGTTTACGATGGATAGCTATGCAATAGATATAGAAGTTGCACGGACTTCAATTTCGCCACAACAGTTTGCATCTTCCAGTCCGTAGGCGTAACGATGTGCCTGGTCGTTTTATTGTTCTTTAGTTGATTTGGCATTGCATAGATAAAGTCATTGTATTAGTTTGTGAAGAGGTCAAATCGATTAGATTAATTAAAAACCTTACAATATCTTCATCATCATCATCTAATCAGCCTTTAACTGTCCACTGCTGAATATAAGCCTCCCTCTTGGAGGGGCTTTGTCAGTAGTTGCCACGCTTGACAGGCGGATTGGCAACCGCAGTTAGGCTTTGGAGATGTTTTGAGAGAGACGCTGCTGTCCATCCCTCGTCCTCTCTTAGTCGGCTCTTACGATACATACTAATGTAAAATTGTAACTAAATAACAGCCATGCAAACAAAACTGTTTCACGGTAGATACATGAATGGGATAGGGGTGCCCAAGCAAACGACTTTTGTACAAAGTCTCCCTCTGGTGATATCTATGCATGGGAGATATTTAAGAAAAAAATATATAAAGTCTTAATAAGATCAATAGATATCAAAACAATAATTTTTTGAAATTTTGTCTTGTTCTGGCATAAAATACTGCACAAAATTAGATGCGATTTTCATTCGATTAATAAATTAAGCAATGCAAATAAAACTCTTTAAAATCGCGTCTTAAGAAGAAAGCAAATAAAGTTATTATTCATTAAAAGAGTAGAAAAGTGTGATATAAAAACTTACCCTAATATATCTTTCTAAATCGGGTGGTATGCTCTGTTCCAGCGGTGTATCATTGTCTCTTTCTTTCTTGTCTTCTGCTTTTGCACCATTTTCGCTCAGGATCACGCTTTCAGTGGAGTTCACTTGCTCTTCCTCATTCTTTGTTGCGTGTTCTTTCACATCAGTCTAGAAGGACAAAAACATTATATTTGCATTATACAATATAGGGAGTAAGCAAAACATTTAATAAATATAACGATACAGTTGAGAGATAGACAAGAACCTAGACTTTAGAGATTTATCCATGTCTAATGTATACAAAGTGAAAACGAAGTAGTTAGTCATCTATGAAACTAAGAATCTGTCGTTGTTATAAAATATATTAAGATAGAAATTTCGTAAATTGAAAAAAAAAATGTGAAATTTAAAAATTTACCCATATTATAGACATTACAGAAATTTTGATGGAAAAAAAATTAAAACTGCTAAAAAAAAACTTTGAAACTGCTTAGGCTTTTTATCCTCCCATCACACATCAACCGTTAATTGCCCACTGCTGAACATAAGCATCTTCTATAAAGGGGGGTTTTACCAATAGTTATCACGCCAAGCGTCGTCGTCGTCGGATTTGCAACGACCGTTAGACTTTGGTGATGTTTTAAGAGGGACATCCCCATAGTAACTATTTTTTTGTTCTCTTTCAACAATTTTTTGTCGTTTTTCGTCTCATGTTCCTTTCGTGAAATTTATTCAGTTTCACTTACAAACACATTCTCTGAAATTTTGATTTCACCTTGTATATTTTGGTCGCAGACAAGTCGCTGCTAAAAAGTAATAAGTCCATACCTACCTAATAAATAATTATAGTGGCATGTGTACACATAACGTAAGGACCAAGAAGTGGAGCAGCGAACTTTAATGCCTAATCGATACATCTTGGCATTTGGTATGAGGTTAGCACTTATTGGCTAGTATCAACGAAATATAAAACCAAATAAAACATTGCTTCACAAACATACATTTAACATTTTAGTACACAAAAATACATAAGCAATTTTACAAAAAGATATCGTCATTACATCAGCCGTTAACTGTCCCTTGCTGAACATAGATGTCCCCCATAAGGGGGGTTTTACTAGTAGTTGACACGCTTGACAGGCGGGTTCGTAGTTAGGTTTTGGTGATATTTTAAGGGGGAGGCTGCCGCCAATTTCCTCGACCTTGAAATTCCCTTAATCGCCTCTTACAACACCCACGGGAAAGGAAAAGGTGGCCTATTCTATGTCAAATTCTATGTATTCATACAAAAAGATATAATGAGCTAAAAATGAGAAAAAAAAAACAGTAAAAAAAATATAAAAATCAAAGCCACTCCTTCTTTTCCCGTGAGTGTTGTAAAAGACGACTAAGGGACGACAAGGAATGGGCAGCGGCGTCCCTCTTAAAACATCTCTAAAGCCTGACTACAACCCCCAATCCGCCTGCCTAGCGTGGCAACTACTGACAAAACCCCCAAGGGGGAGACTTATGTCCAGCTGTGGAGGATTAAGAGCTGATATGATGAATCAAAAAACATAATAATACTTGTAAGTATTTAATATCGTAATGAACTGAAAAAACACTTAATTTACAACTTCATTTAATCTTTGCTTATAAGCGCTTATCAGTGTACAGATAAAAAATACTGTATTTTTTATGTATTAAAAATAAAATAGTAACTTTGCTAGCGCAATCATATACGCTACTAGTGAAGGATGATAGGTGTGGATGAAGTCAAGTCAGTTGTCCCACCGTGACTAATTCACTACGAATTAATTACGATAGTTTTCAAAGTAGACTGCGTGTCGACAATACAACTAGCAATGGGCCGCTAGTCCCCGTCAATAATAATCCCCACTCGCCATTTCCTATGACTAGTCTTATCTGTGATTATGATAAGTTACGATACGGCATTGCGTCAGTGCAGCTAGCGGAGACTGTCTATAATGTTATAGCTAAGTTTGAGGTTGTAAACCTATACTTTCTATAAAAACAATTTTTTTTCTCTTCATTTGTAAATTCTGAACCGATTTTGATGATACGACAAGTTGGTTCTATATTAATTTCATCAAGATTGAAATATCCTTTCCCATTCCAAATAGGTACTATTTATTTTTTTATTTATTTAAACTTTAATGCACAGTGAAACTCTATTTACATATGGCAGACATCACTGGACAGTGTTGTCTATCAGACAACCATTGGGCAAACAGAAAAATTAGTAGGTGGGATGCATTATTGAATTGAGAAAATATAAAAAGTAATACTATGTGTGTAGTACATAGCAAACTTAATGATAAAAAGGTGTTAAGGCACTAAAAGGTAATAAACATACAAAATCCCTTTTACATTTATATTGTTACAGTAAGGATATATATATACATATATTAGAGTTTTGCAATTTTGTTTTTAATCCTGACTAATAAAAAATAAAAGCTGTAAAGCTTACTCCAAAAAAGTAACACAAATATATATACAACAAAACTATAGTATAAATATATATATATATATATAATAATACTAACTATATCCTGCAGTATTGCCTGTGTTAAATAATACATAACATATATAACATACCTATGTACTAAATTTCATTTAAATCTGTTTAGTAGTTTTTGCATGAAAGAATAACAAAAATTCATCATTACAAATGTACACATTCACTACCAATAATATCAGTACAACAAAAATTGTTTTTAAAATTATAAACGAGAAAAAAAATAGATTATGATTGATTACTACCATACATAAAGTGTTCAATACTCATAGACAATTGTGTATGCTTCTATGATTTTTTTTTATACAATTTAGAATGGCAAACAAGCTGACGGCCCACCTGATGGAAGATGGTAACCATTGCCTATAGACATGATGTGATTATTAATTTTTTTTTTCCTTAACATCATAATTTTATTTAACGCAATCAATTCTCCCGACTGGACAGGTATATGAGATGAATGTTTTATTAAAATTACCAGTATTAACCTGCATATTTGGTCACATGGATCAGGATTAAAATCATATGCACTAGAAAACAGATCTGCGACTAGATCTAGAAACTAAATACAGTTTAACATTTGCATACCTCTACAGGGTGCTACATGTTATGTACCTACTTGTATATGTAACTTCTTATTGTACCATGTAGCAAGCGAATAAATATGATTTGATTTGTGTAACAAATATTTCTAATATAATAAAATTGTAACTGGACACTGTCTGTACATACATAATATTAAAAAAATAGAAATAAGAGGTTTTAATATGAACAATTTTTAGAAGTTTTCTGTCTGTATATTTATTAAGGCATCACCCAAAAACTACTACACTAAATTAAATGCAGTTTTCATTGTTATATTCCCGAAATTCTAACTTAAAAACTAGTGTATGTTTTATCTTGATATGCCGTCTAGAAGTGGTCAATTTCACTGGTTTCCCTACTTCTAAAATCTGCGCATTTAAAGTAATGAACAATAAGCTAGTACTTAAATATAATCAGATGTACAAAAAAGATTGAGTAACAAACATCCAAAAATGTTAAAAGAAATTTGACATATATTAGTAACATTAAGAGGATATATATTATTTACATATTTATAGTCTTTCACTGAAACATGATTAAATATTTTTTTATTTTGTTTTACCAATGAGGTTAAAAAATCTGTATATAAATCCATGATAAATATTATACCAAATTAAACATTAGAATTACAGTAATTGTAGATATGAGTTAAATAACTTATTCTATTTATTAAATAATATACAAGATGTTATTATATTATTATGATATGCTTGCTTACTGGCAATTTAAAAATTAAAAAATTCAGTAAATAATATTTTATTTTATTAACATTTTACTGGTTCAAACCACATGAGCGTAGATGCTAAACCCTACAAAAAGAAACATTTATAATGGGCCAAATTTTAAACAAATTTATATGTAACTGTAAAAGTTTTATCTCTCTTATGTAAAATGCATCATTATAGCTCAACATTTTAGAGATATTAAGATATTTTGCATATTCCCCTTAATAGTTAGTTAATACCTATTTATTTATTTTTGATATCTACAACTAATGTGTTATTATTAAAAAATATAACAAAGACAAATCAAGTTTTGGACAATTACAAATTGAACTTTCAAATTTACTTATGAATTTGCAAAAATATAACATATCTTTATGTTATTGCAAAAATATCATAAGATTATATAAAGGTACATAACTATACAAAAACAAATGGTAATAATAAAAAGAAAGCTTAATATTTACAAATAAGAGAAGAAAATGTTTATATATGAATTCATAAAAACACAGTAGTTTATATAATATATTTATAATAAAAATAAAAGAAATATTTGACAGACATTTTAATTAAAAAATTCAAATAAAACAATATATAGGTAGGTAAATTATTTATATATATATATATATATATATATATATATATATATATATATATATATATATATATATATATATATATATATATATATATACTATTTTATTTACGTCACAGATGCATTATTCTACGCAACGAGCCAAACAACCGGCACGTATAGTTGAATCGATAGGAAAACACTTGAGTGCAGAGTTACTGGCTAGACGAAGCAATGAAGGCAAAAGAAAATCGATAAACATGCGACACACTCAATAGTTTCAAAAATAAGTTTACTTTTTTAAATTAATTAAAACTCACATTTACAGGACGCGAAGCTAATCCAAGCAGCATTTTCTCTTTCTCAATCTCACGCCTTTTCATAATAATGAGCCTTTCTAAATCACCGGTAGATAACATTTTATTATTGTGTACACCGTGAAAGTTTCACTTTCAATTCCAGCGCGGGAAAATTATGATTGTATTGCGAAATACGTCTTGATTATACAATGGCAAATGTTTCACATTCGTTATATTATAATTATTTTCTATTGTCATTTAAACAATTGTAAATATTTTTTATTTTAATTTTGTAAAATTAAAAATTGTTTTACGTTTGGTCGTTTAAACTTTGATTTTGAATTTGACAATATAATTTCACACTGACAATTAACAATATAACATGACATTGATAGTTGTAATTATTTTTTTTATTTGCACAAAATACGCAGGCAAAGTATGTGGTCCATACAGCCTAGTTATATAGTAGTAGTATTATAATTATTATCCACAATGGGAATAGCAAAGAAACTAAGCTATTGATACAAAACGATATAGACCATAGGGAAATATTGGTTTAATTCAGCTAAAAATAACGATACATTGGTATTATTACAGACAATAGTAGTTAGAAAAGGAATGTCACAATCTTAAGTCAATAATAGAAAAACAAACCAGTATTTGTAAAGAGTTTCGTATACTACATTCACCCATGTTTTTTAAAAAACCTAAGTTATTATAATTCATAATGCTAAATAAGCGGGTGGTTCTTTCACGAATAGCCGCTGAGACGATCGACCACCATTAAAAGGCCCAGTGCCATCAGCATTCAAAAGTCAGCTCTCGGTATCTGTATCGGTTCGAGATCGATCGGAGTTCTCAATTTCGTCAGTGTTAGTTATATCTCCAACTAATCTATTAATTGGGGCAAGATGTCTATTAGATACAGTATCCTCTCGTCCATCAGCAAAACGTACTAAAGAATAATTTGGGTTGGATTCTAGCAATTCGACTTCTTCTACTAGAGGATCATATTTACTTTTTCTTACGTTTTTCTTCAAAAGTATTGTGAATCATTAAATATATATACCAGATCGTCTGGGAAAACATAACAACTTATCATGTGGAGTTGCATTCGTAGCAGTACATAACAAAGAGCGTATGGAATGTAATGCTAATACCTGTTCCCAATATCGTATGTCAAGGTTCTTGGATCTTAAAGATAATTGGATGGTTCTCACAGTGTCCCATTCAATCGCTCAACTTGACCATTTCCTTCCGGATTTAAGGTGTAGTTCGACTACAAGCAATATTATTTCTTAGTAGGAAATCTTTAAATTCTTGTGACATAAATCCAGCACCACGATCTGAATGAATATATAGGCGTTCCAAAAGTTTTAAACACATTATGACAGTTCCTGATGATACGTCTTTACACGGGTAAGCAAATGGAAAACGAGAAAATTCATCAACAATAGTTAATATATATTTATTTTCAGTATTGAAGGTAATTTAAAGTCTAAACTGAGTCTTTCAAATGGAGAAGTAGCTTTGATAAGTCGTCCTTTGCTATTTGCAAATCTAGGTTTTATCTCGGCACAAATAGGACAACTCGCAGTCATGTCTTTAATCTCTACAAGAGAATAGGGCAAATTTTTAGAACGCAAATGAATTCTTGTGATTCCTGGATGGCATAGAGTATTGTGCAGTTGATATAAATTTTTACGTGAAAATGTACTAGCACAAACTCTTGATAATGCATCTGATATATATTACCAGGTCGATAGACAATATCAAATTTAAAACAAGACAGTTATATATCTCTCTATTTTTTCATTCTTAATTTTACTTGTATGCTTCTGATTGAACATAAAAGAGACAGATTGTTGATCAGTTATTAAAAGAAAATGTTTTCCAATTAAATGATGACGCCATTTACGTACTTTCAACAATCGCTGATGCTTCCTTCTCTATTGACGAATGGTTTCTATAAATCTGTTAAGGAAAAAAATTACAGGGCGTCCATTTTGCGAAATTGCCAAAGCATGATGAGAAGCATCTGTTTCGACAGTGAACATTTGTGTGTCGTCAATTGCTAAAAGCTGCATTTGCAATATCTTTAAATGATACTTTCAAATGATTCGCTTATTATATGTGATAAAGGAAATGAGTTATTCGTTATTAAAGGACTTATTTTCTCTGAATAATTGTTTATCCATCTAGAAAAATGTGCAAACATACCTAATATTTTCTTCAAGGAAGTTAAGTCTGTAGGTGCAGGCATAGAAAGTAATGGTTTAAGACGCTCTTTATCAGGCTTTACAGTGTTATCTCTCTATAGTATAACCCAATAAGTTAATAGACTCAGAGCCAAACTTGCATTTATCTTTATTTAAAGTAATTTTATATTTTTCTACTGCTGTCATAAATTTGGCTAAGTTAGCATCATTAATTTATCCTTTCCACAAACAGTGACATCGTCTAAGTAAGCATAAGTATCTGTAAGATTTTCATTATCAATAATATATTGCATCGTTCTTTGGAATGCTGATACGCCATTTGTAACTCCAAAAGGTATACGTGTAAATTGATATAATTTACCACATGCTTCAAATGCTGTATAAGGTCTTTCCTTTTGCAGAATCGGCACTTGGTGGTAAGCACTTTTAAGGTCTATTTGGCTAAAATATTTATTCTGAGCAATTTTAGATACAAGAAATTCAATGTTCGGCAATGGATACGCATCAAGTTCTGTAAATTTGTTTATCGTTCGTGAATAGTCAATAACAAGACGTTTTCGATATACCGCCACCAGTTACTAGGACTTGTGCTCGCCAAGAAACATACTTGGCTCTATAATTCCATCTTTTAATAGCTTTTGAATTTCTTCAGAAATGAATTTTTGGTCATCATCATTATAGCGCCTTGATTTTATTGCCACAGGTTTGATATAGGCGACAAATTTGAAAATAGAGTTGCGTTATATATTTGCAGCCATAACATTGCATATCTTCAAAGAATCTCTGGGACCTCCGAACTGGAGTTCTAAAGAATGGTGATTTTAAGCAAATCATTAAAATAATGTCAGTGCATAAGTTACGTACAACTAGTAACTTGGCATTGCTGTAAGAGTGATTATATAATTGTATAGTAGCATTACAGTAACAGGTGACTGGAGATGTATGATTAAGCAAGCTAAAGTAATAATTTGCTGACAAGGTTTCTGTCTCAATTTCAAGAGTTGCGCCAATTCTTCATTTATGAAACTTATCGAGCTTCCGGTATCGATAAGAGCTTCGGCACGATAATTATTAATAATAAGGTACAGTTGCCTTATGTATTGGTAAAGAAGCTGCTGATATAGCAGCAACCTCCACAGAATAATTAGTATCATTTTCGTTTGTTCAGCAGCATTCATAGTTTGTTTACTTCGGCAAACATTAGCAAAATGTCCCTTTTTAGAACAAATCTGACAAGTACTATTCAAAGCTGGACATTTTATTCGCTGATGAATTACATTACTGCCACAGAAGAAACATCTTCTTTTATTTGAAGCAGCAGCTAAAGCAGACTCAGCCAAATTATCTCGTACAGTAGATACATCGTTGTTGTTCAGGGAACATATTTGAGTTTTCTTTTGTGAATTAGATAGATGCCGTTAGGCATCAGCAGAATTAAGGGGCAAAGAATTACCATTGTAAGCTAGGGAATTAATTTCTGCCATCTCGAGTGAAATTGCTTGATTGAAAGCTTGATCAAGTGAGAGTTCAAAATTTTCTAATAAACGTTGGCGAATTTTTTGTGAGGAAATACCAGCAATAAATGCATCTCTAATATATTCAGATCGATATTGTTCAGCTTTAACATCTTTGAAGTAGCATTTTTGAGCAAAAGTTTAAGTTGCAAGTATTGATCTATAGATTCATCACTGCGCTGCTTTGATTATAGGATATGACGTGCATGTATTTCATTTTTTTGTTTAATGTAGTATTATTTAAAATTGAAATTGACTCATAATCATTACATTCTTTTATGTACACATAAACGCTGGGAGATAAGTGATTAATCAAGATTTTTAATTTATGCTCCTCCTTAAACTCACCAATACTTTCGGACAAAAAATTATCGAATGTATATATCCAATGTGTCCATTCTAAATCAGCATCGGTAGAGCTTGGATCTAATTCAAATCTTTCCGGCCGTAGGTCACGCGACAAACTTATGAAGCCGGCCCTGGAGTTGACGATATCATCTCGGATTCAAATTTCTTTTTATTTTTCAAAATTGACATAATTAGTTGTATTTTATTAGTTGAATTAATTGATACAAAACGATATAGACCATAGGGAAATATTGGTTTAATTATATAGTACAGTATTATTATACAGACAATTATTATGTCACAATCTTAAGTCAATAATAGAAAAACAAACCAGTATTTGTAAAGAGTTTCGTATACTACAGCTATACAACCCGATTTTCAGTAGAAAGTTTATATTTCCATTTTTAACAAAATTTTACAACGTCAGTATTTTTGATTATTTAAAGATTTGGCTTGGATGGCATTTAATATACTTACGTTTAATATATGTGTATAGGTAAATACTGAATTAACCAGGTATTTAAGAGTATATTGTTCATTTTTAATATTTTTAACCGACTTCAAAAAAGAAGGAAGTTATATGTATATTCTATAGTAGATTTTATGTACCGATCTCTCCATCAATTGTGGACCGATTACAAAATTATTTTTTATTATTTGAAAGAACATATTCTTGAGGTGGTGCCATCGTCACCAAGTTAAGATCTAATCATGGAATCCCAAGGAAATAAAGGGAAATCCTTAAATTTTATAGGTTATATATTATATAATGTTTCATATTTATTCAAATGTTATTCAGATATTTGTTTCTGGGAATCATCATTTCATGCTGATGAGATGATTATGGATAGTTCATAAGCATGTATAACTCCTTAACGATTTTGAGTTAGGGGATAATTTCTTAAATAATATAGGAACGTATAAATCGTTTCTTAGGCTCTTTCAAATTATTTGGGTGATTGGAGCTGGAAGTCATCATTTCGGTCTATTGAGATAATAATGGAAGCCACAGACTGATTCGATTAACACAATACGTATATTATAAGGTAATGTCGTCTTATTGACGAGTAGATTATCTTATTAGCAAGAGTTAAAAGTTGTTGTTAGATACGAATAGTATTGTTATTAAAAATAAGATTAAAAGTTAAAAACAAAAACTAAAATTCATACTAAAGTTAATTAATTTGTAAAATAATTTACGGTTTTGCTATGATATAATAACAGTTTGGTTGTATTTCGTAGTGTTTACTCATTGCTTATGTATTATTTACATTAATAATGAAAAACAAACATTTAAAAAAAATAAACTAACTTAAAAAAATTAATAAACAAAAATAAAAAATCGAAATTCAAACTGATATTTACTTTTAATTTAAAAAAAATATTGAAAAATATACACCTAATTAAAAGAAAAAATAAACAAAAATAAAAAATACTTAAACTGATGGGTTAATAACCAACCCTTGAAAAACATTTAATATTCGTTACAATTTAAATTAAAAAAGGGTTTCTAACGAAATACTTAAATGTTTTTAAGGGTTAATGACCAACCATTAAACAATTGCAAACAATTGCCAAATTATACAGATCTAACAACAACAATATAACGCCTCAATTGGCACTGACTTCAAATTCATTTTCTCCTTTAAACGTCTAATATCAGCTTAGTTTTTCGCTTATTGCTTTTTATTTCATCTTATTTTTGAAGTCAGTATAATTTTTATTTAAAGTTTGTTTATTTTTAAGTGCTTCGATTTTTGTTTTTAAAAACAAATAATATCTGTGGGCTTACTCAAAGATATTATACGAACGGACAGATAGGAACAGCATACTGCAATTTAATAAATGGGAATTTAAGGAATAGTTATAGTTGGTAACATTGGAGGTGTCAATTTAAAAATTCACGTTATTATTCCTCTGATTACTTGTTCATTGATATTAATCTATAATAATAAATTAATTACTTATATTTTCGTTTTATTATTTTGTAGGTATTACAATATTAATCTAATTATCTGTGCAATGTGTTAAAACGAGGTTAAAAATATGAAGGTTAGGTGACTGATCGAATCGGACACTAACAAGGAGATACAACTAAATTGGCTGATAAGAAATACAATTAAAGTAACCTAGTACTCTCAGATTATTTTTTTACGCAGTAGTAAGTAATATCAAGTGATATCTATAAAAAAAAGAATTGTAAAAGATGGTTAAAGATCATGAACAGAAATTAGCTGAATTGAAGAGCAAAATTAAGAGCTATCCCGATTTTCCCAAGAAAGGAATATTGTTCTGGTAAGTAATTGGTTTTTTTGTTTTTAAATATTATTTACTGCCATTGATAGAGTATTGATAGGATTATGTTCTTAAAAAAGTTCTGTAATTATTAGACTGAAGTTAGTCTTCTAATCCCTTGTTTTGGTGCCTATTCTATTCTGGTTCTTTCAACTGAGCACCTGTGTTTGAATGTTTGTTTATTAAACAGTCTGAATAAAATAAAATACTAATATATATGGAGTCAAAATAGAACAATCTACCATATTTTAAAATTATTGAAGTACAATATTACATTTGGGTATTCAGTCAGGTGTTCAAAAGATTGTACAATTCTATTTCATTCTCTAATTAATAAAGTAGTTGATTGATTTTTGTAAATATTTTTTTTTAATTTAATTTTCCAAATATTATATTAAAAATATATATTTTGGTAAAAAAATTATTATATTTTTTTTTATTTATTTTAAATATCTATTCATCTTTTTCAATTATACTTAAGAATATATATTAATATGAGATATAACATAAAGAATTTTCTATTTTAGGGATATATTCTCAGCAATTGCAGATGGCGCTACATGCAAACTTTTACAAACTCTCTTATTGGAAACGATACAGGTTAAATACAAAGATGTAGAGGCAATAGTTGGACTGGAGTCACGAGGGTTTCTGTTCTCCTTCTCTCTGGCAGCTGCATTAGGAGTTAGTTCTATACCGGTGAGAAAGAAGGGGAAACTACCTGGAGAAGTTGTATCATACAAATATGATTTGGAATATGGCTCTGTAAGTATAATCTCTGATGATATACTCAAGTGGTTGTCAACTGTTTAATGTCTCTTATATATGTATATCTACTAATGTCTCTCATGTAAGTGTCCTCAACATTTAAAATAGAAAATCTATTGACATAGTGTCACTGTCCAAATTTTATTTTCCATTATCATACTTTTTTATGCAACTTAGAATGGCTAACAAGCTAACGACCTACCTGATGAAAAGTGGTAACCGTTGCCTATAGACTATAGCCATGGACATAACAGAGTATACTGTTTCATTCATTATACCTCCCATATGTTGCCATTACTGAGGACTCAGAAATAAGTCCTCTGTACCCTGTAAATTCATTGCCATATCCCATCCTTCAAACCGAAACACAGCCATACAAACTCAACTGCTTTACAGTAAAAACACGAATGGGACAGAGGTGTCTAAGCAAATGACTTTTACTACTGCTTTTTTATATACTATATGTTTGTTATAAATTTTCGATGATTCCAGGATGTTTTGGAAATTCAGAAGGACACAATCCGTCCCGGACAGAAGTGCCTTATTGTTGATGATCTAATAGCTACCGGGGGCTCAATCACAGCAGCGGTGAACTTACTGAAGGCCTGCCAAGCAGATGTCATTGGCTGCCTTGCGGTGATAGAACTAGAATCCCTCAATGGCCGTAAAAACATTCCCGATGGTATATCTGTACATTCCTTGATTAAGCATGATTAGCAATAGATAATACAAGTGATCTATCACTATGTGAAGTAAATAGGAAAAGTACAATGCAATATTTAAGAACAACATTTGTATTACCTGTCAAACTTCATACTTATCGGCAAATATTATTCTGTAATGGACTTGCATACATATCAGTCACACCTATAATATTTAATTTAAATTTCAGTTTTGAAAATATAGAATAGTGCTTAAAAGTCATATATGAAAATGTTTTACATAATCCCGCATTTTGGAACAGACAATGTTGAAATATAAAAAAATAATAACATTCTATTTGATTTTTACAGGTGTTACCAGTTTTAAAAACAAAGATTGTGAAAGTTTGTGAAATTGTTAATATTAAACTTTCGCGTTGTTTAAACATATTGTAAATTCACAATTGTAACTTAATGCCATGGTATTACAGGTAACTAGTACACAAATATCTAATACCTAAACTATGAGTAATAAAATCAGATATGAAAGTACTATTTGCCTGTATTCACGTCGCATTGAGTACTGATTGTGAATTTAAAATATGTTTATGAAATTGTTTGCTAAATACCTATTTATTGTAACAATTTTATGGTATATTTTTACAAATTTTAAATAGACAAAAACTACATTCCTCAATGTTAGTGTAAGATTTAAATCACTTGTTTTATTTTTTGTTCTGATTTATTAGTGCAGGATAGGGGTGCTTAATATATAGCAATATCTGTATATTTTAGTTACAATATATTATACAATATTGATGCAATAACGAATGTGTTAAAAATCTTTTATTCAAAAAATAATATTGGATAAAAGACTTTTAACATATTTGAAAATAGATATGGGTGATGTTGAAATTGGTAATGATGTTCTTTTTTTTTTTAATTTTACACAGATAAAATACGTCTTAATATAATGAAGGGTTTACATTTTTTTATCTATTATAACAGCATAATATTCGGATTTAAAATACAATCTCTTTATAGGTCTGTTATAGCCAATATGATGAAATATTATGAAAAAATATTATGAATGCAATGGAACCCAAAAGACTTATTTTTTGTCTGTTTGTCTGTAGGTTTGTGCGCTCTTATCTCAGAAACGGCATAACCGATTTGAAAGCGGTTTTCACTAATGCGATGCGGTTTGCTCCACATAACATTTAGCATTTGTTTTATTTCAATCGGTTCATAAATAAAAAAGTTATATTATTGTAAAGAATCGCATAAAAAATGCTATAAAATAACCGATCAGTTGAATTGGCTGAAACTTTATGAAGGTAGGTTATATATATCATATTTTCACTCAGGATATTTTATATACCGATTCATGCAGGCAGCGCTGCGGGTAACAGCTAGTCATTACTGTATATTATAAAAAAGTTTATCTATTAGTTATCTAATATCCATAGTAAACGTTCTGCTTAGTTTGAAACTAGATGTATATGTCCAGTGATATTTATTATTTAGTGATAATGAATCAAAATATACTTGAATTTGTAATTAGTTTTTTGTCTTTACTATTTTTTTTTTTATAATGCAATATTTTAGCTTTTGGTTTTTCTATTATAAACAAATAAAGTAAACGCTGTTGTCTGCTATTTGAATATATTTCTGTGTTAGAATACTACTACCTAAGCAAAATGCTCAATTTTAAATGTATACTTGAAGATAATTTTTATACAAAAAAAAAATCATTTTGAGTCTGTTATGAATAATTCCATTTATATTCTGTTGATTTTATTGTTTTATACGAGCAGCTATACAATAAAATGTTACTTTTTAATTAACATTTATTTCATTTCACTGACAATTTTTATGTAATTATTATTAAAAATAACTAACAATTAAATATTAAATAAAAATATTAATTTTAATGCAAAGTTCACCAAATGTACACTTGGTAAACTTTTTCAATAATTAATAACTTACTGAATAGATATCACAGGCTTTGCGTTTCCATTACCAAAAATTTTAGGGGGGATTTTCAAATTTTCTTCACTACGAGCATCTTCATTTTTTTCTGCGCTCTTTTCTGTCGATACTGTATCTCGTTTATGCTCCGATTTCGGTGTTGTATATGAATAGGGCACAGCTTGTCCACTTATCCTAGGAATATTTACTTTTACTGTAGAAAGCTCGATATTTTCAGTGGTACTAGCAAGCCGTGGTGATTTTCGGGAAGAATCCTTTACTGTATCAACTTTATCAGATGATGTATCTCTTTTATGATCAACTTTGGGAGTCGTCGATGATGCATCATAAGGATAAGGCACTGGATGTTCTTGATGTACTGGATTTAAAGTGTGCAAGTAGTCATTGGCTTCAGAAGGATTTGTGTTTTGTGATGTTACTGGTTGCGGTGATGTTCCCTTGTTTTCTACTAATGGATTATTCGGTGGGCTAGTAGATACTGGATTACTCTTATTATCCTCGTTAAGTAATAGCGTAGGGATGTTTATATTTTTTAGCATTTTAGGTAAATTTCCAGACCGTTCATTATTATCGTTTGAGTTTAGTGCTTTATGTATGTTATGATTCTCATTTTTATCAGCATTATTTGTATCTCGTGCAGTTCTTTCTTTATCATTTGTCATAGTAGAATCAGGTTTGTTACTTCCCCTGGATGTTACTGCTGGAATTTGTTTTTCGTCCTTATGTTCTACTGCAGGTTTGTCTGATACAGGGTTATTTTTATTTTGCCCATTGAGTGATACCGCAGGAATAATCGATTCTTTGAGTGAAGTGGGCGAATATCCTGACTTTTCATTATTTTGATCATTGGTAATGTTTGATGAGCCTAATGATTTTGGTAAATTGTAATTTTCGATCTTATCTTCATTATGTGTATCTCGAACAATTCTTTCTTTATCATTTGTTATAGTAGACTCAGGTTTGACATTTTTTCCAGTAATAATGGTAGGAGCAAGCTTTTCGTCTTTATCTTTTATATCAGGATTATTAGTAATACTTTTCACATCTGGTGCATTTGTTTTTAAGCTATCTATTGATGGAGTATCCTGATTGAAAGTTGATGGTACGTTTTTGCTGTCAGTTTGCGATGAAAAATGTGTAGGGTAGTTATTAGAAAGTGGTGTCACACTTACTTCAGATTTAGTATTTTTATTAGTTTCTCTTGCATTTCTATCATTACCTGTAGGTGTTGGCGGAGGAAAGCTTAAGGACGCGCTATTTTTGTTTAATGGTGAAAAATTTGATTCTTTGGTAAATTTAGGCGTTCCTTCGTCGTTTCCAATTCTGCGGTTCTCGTTTGTTTTATCTATTTTGGATGTTACTTTTTTATTGGTCTCATCATCAAAGGCACGTGTATGTCTTGTTTCTCCGTTATTCTCTTTTAAATCTTTATCCATGGGCAACATGTCTCCATTGTTAGTTTCTGCATCTCCAGGCTTCGGATTATTGGAACCTTCACTTTTATTTTCTCCGTATTTATTTACCGGTATTTCTGTTTTCTTTATTTCAACTCCTGCAAGAGATGGGTGCTTTGATTTTAGACTATCTCCATCTTGTTTATTTGTATCATGAGTCGTGTCGCGAATTTTTCTTTCATTGTTATTGTCATTGGTATCTGCAGATATTATTAAAGGTAGCCTTTTCTCATTTGATTCTGGAATAATTGTGGTGCGGTCATCATGATTGATTCGTGGGTCAGCAAAGTTAAGTTCCGTACTCTGGGAAGTTTCTGGCGGATTTTTTGCAATTCCTACTTGTCTGGGGTGAGTTAAATCATCTTGTAATTTGTCTTCGTCCTTAACTTTTTCTTGTGACTTTGGTACTGCGTAGGCTTCTATACGAAAGTCGTATCCTCTTAATGCTGTTGGGCTTTTGAGTTCTAAAGTCACCTTTTCTTGTCCTTCTCCTCCATCGACAATGTTCACATCTCCGTCCTTTTCTGCTCTAAGATCTTTCACGATAATTTTACTTATCACTTCGTCGTCGGTTGTATTAATTGTTACATTTTGGACTTGTCTCCATATAGCTGGACTAGCTTGAAAGTTTTCGTCGAATATTTTCTTACCAGCATCAGAGCCCACTGTAATATCGCGGGCGTTGGTTACAGACACGAAAACAAGTAATACAAGTATGTTGTACATGTTTGATTTGGATCGACTGACGTTGATTACGAAATCCTAGCTTTTATATGACAAGAGCTTGAGGAAAATTCTAAGGAACAATAATAAATGACTCACTTAACATGGTAATTTTTTATTGTTTGAAATTAAGATCTTCCTACAGGAAAATAATAATATTGAGTAGGTACATTCGCATAAAAAAGTGAATGCGTTTTGTAATGTGTTTCTTCTTAAATAAGGATAGTATATGTAATAGTGCGCCACCTACTCTTTGTCTTTTTCTCAATGTTCTCTACCCAAAGGTTGTCTGGAAGAGATTGCTTAGCGATAAGGCCGCCTTTTGTATCACTTCTCATTAATATTTACTGTATTTGTTATCTCTCTTTTTACTTGGTACAATAAAGTGTAAATAAATAAATAAATAGTTATTTTAATATTTCATGTTCATGATATGAAAATTAAATATTAAAATAATTATCTTATAATTTCATAATGGATTGAACACCCTAATTGTTTATTAATTATGTACTAAAAAATATTTATAAGCACTTTTTTTATGCAACGTAGAATGGCAAACAAGTGGTGGAAAATAGTAGCCTATAGGCATAAATAACGCCATGTGCTTTACAAAATATATTTGCTCACCTATGGTAGTTTGCCATTTCTGAGAACTAGGGTGTTATACTTTCTTGCAGACATAATTTCATCCCACCCAACTTATTATCTAAACTAATATTATAAAGAGGAAATATTTGTTTATTTCTTTTGTATTATGTTGATAAACTTACAAAATATGTGATAGAAAGATACATTGTCATCGTATAATATGGGCTGTGTCTTATTTTAGAAAAAAAAAAAATCAAATTTGTTCTCGCCTGTACTATCTTTGCTACTTGATATTTATCGACACGAATATTTTCGTACGCTTCCGGAATAAAAATTAGGTGACTACGTTCGTGCAACGTGCATGTTTAACCACAGATTATGGTCCAGATTAGCATTACTTGTTTTGATATTTTTTATCTATGGGTCGCAAAATATTGGGTCCATAGACAAAAAATATATTTTTATATTTTGTATGTAGCCCGCGTATCCGCTACGAGAATTATATTCAAATATTTAAATGCATTCGAAATAGAGAATACATAATTAATAATAAGTATGTATTGTTATTATAGGTATGTGTACAGGAAAATCCTCCGTGGATCGATTGTTACCAGAAGGAATCTACGAATGTCGTTTGCTTGGGTGCTTTCGTGTCACTTAGATTATTGCCGTAAAGCTGTGTTTGTTTAGTTATGTTTTGAGCTTGAAAGTTGGGATATGGCAGTGAAATTATAGACACGAGACATAGATTTTGATTCCGGAGAAGAAGGGATTATTTTATTAACTTGGCAGTTAGTTTTACTAACAATCCTTTAACCTCAACCATCATAGGTAATTCGTGATGATGACATTCGAGATGTCTGAGCCAAATTTGTTCTGCTTTATTTGTGCTTTTATTTGTTCGTAATGTAGACTACCAGTCCCATTGCTAGCAATATATATTATCAGGTCGACTTCCACGTGGTCCCCTCTGGAAACTATCGTGCTGAATTCCAGGTGTATTCATTACGATGGGCTAACTGACCAGCCTCTTCATCCTTACCTATCATCCCTCACTGATGCTCCGCCAGCGTATATCGATAGCGCAGACAGGATTACAATTTCATTATCATCCATTAAAAAAAAATGTTAGTAATGCGGGCCACCAGTCACATTGCTAGCCCTATCAGGTCGACTTTAACGCCCCCCCCCCCTTCTCCTGGAAATCATCGTGGTTAATTCTAGGTCAATTTGTCACGATGGGCCAACTGACCTGTCTTCGTTCTCATCTATCACTCCTCACTGGTGTCCTGCAAGCGTATACTGATAGCGCGAACAGGGCTGCCATCTCATTCTCACCCATTAAAAAAAAAGTACTTGCGTACGGGCCGCAAGTTGACTGTAGCTGCTTTAATATTCTGTCAATGTCAATGCTGAGTTATGTAATTTACAATTTGAGAGTACTTCAACGAGGCTGCCTCGTCGTCTGAGGAAGTAGGCGACACGTGTGTGGGTACATAACACCTGCACTGTTAAGGAATATTTTGTTCGCGGACAACTGTTCCTTTTATGTTTACCTTTATTTTTTTTTTCAGGTTTTTGATATACCTAATTTTCAGTGTACATTTTCTGCTCTGGTCATAATGAATCCCTTAAATTGTGATTACATAGGTATGTGTGCTGTAGCACATACGTCGTACTAAGCCTTGTTTTAAAATTTGTCCATTAGAAAATAACGACCAAGGCTAGAGTCTACATAAAACGTTTTTTAACCGACTTCAAAAAGATGGAAGTTCTCAGTTTGGTTGTATTTGTTTTATGTTTGTTACTTCATAACTAATACTTACCTATAATTCATACCTGTTAATTGTCTTGTTTATTTCCTATATTGTATAATGCAAATAAAGTATACTCATTCATTTATAACTCCGTTAGTATAACTAACCGATTTGGAAAGGGGGGAAAGGGAATGTTGGTAATGGAGACTGAGAATCCTGTTGCTAGCAATATACCCAACCAGGTCGACCTCCTCGCGGTTCCCCCTGGAAACTATCATGGTTAATTCCCGATGAATTCATCATGATGGTCTAACTGGCCTGTTTTCATTCTCATCTATCACCCTTCACTGGTGCTCCGCCGGGGAGGGGGGGGTTACCATACCATTTTCACCCAACAAAAAATAAAACCGATTTTGAAAATTCTTGTTCATTTGAAAGGAATACTTACATAGTGGTCTTATAGAAATTGTATTAAAATCCATTCAACAGTTTAGTTTTTCTAATCAAATTTCTCTCAATTTCTAATTAATTTAAAAAAATCATGATTGCTTTTTTTGTAAAACACAAATTAATACGGTCTATTACTATATTTAGATCTCTCCCTATTGGGTGGGTTTACCAGAAGTTGCCACGTTTGTCAAGCGGTTGGCAGCTGCAGTTAGGCTTTGGTGATGTTTAAAGAGGGACGCCGCTATTCATGTCTCGACCATTAAATTCCCTTCTTACGATACTCACGAGAAAGGAAGGGGTGCCAATTCTATTCCAGGGCAACACTGCGAATATATTTATATTTTTTTTTATACAACTTAGAATGGCAAACAAGCTGACGGCGCACCTGATGGAAAGTGGTAACCGTCGCCTATAGACAGGAGCAGTACCATGGATATAACAGAGTATACTATTTCGCCCATGATACCCCCCATGCGTTGCCATTCCTGAGGAATCAGGTGTTATTCCTCTGTACCCAGTAAATTCACGCCATATCCCACCTTTCGAACCGAAACACGGCCATGCAAACAGCTGCTTCACGGTTGAAACACGAATGGGACAGAGGTACCCAAGCAATCGATTTTTGTACAAAGTCTCCCTCTGGTGAATATATCAAAGGGAGAGTATAATAAAATTATATTAAAAAAAAATGGCATCAAATAATACAACTTTAATGAACATATTTAAATTGAATTACATTTATTTAATGCATTAATTAATTTAACATTTTAATTTCGACTTTAAACATATAATGAGTAGGAATCAGTTTACTCAGTTCCGCAATAGTCCGGCTTAGAGCAAGGACACTTCTCTTTCATCTGGAGACCTTTGGCCATCTGTTTCATGAATGGATGTATTTCCTCGCTAAAGAATGGCCTGCAATCACAAGCATTTCTGAAATGATTCATTAACAGTACTATCATAGTACCCACGACTTAGTCCACGTGACTGGGTTTTTTTTATGCAACTTATAATGGTAAACACGTCAGCCCACCTGATGGAAAGTAGTAACCGTCGCCTATAGACATGAGCAGTACCATGGACATAACAGAGTATACTATATCGCCCATGATACCACTCATGCGTTGCCATTTCTGAGGACTCACGTGTTATTCCTCTGTACCCTGTAAATTCACTGCCATATCCCACCCTTCAAACCGAAACACAGCCATGCAAACACAACTGGTTCACGGTAGAAACACGAATGGGACAGAGGTGCCCAAGCAAACGACTTTTTTTATCTTTTCTATTTAGAGGCTTTTATTCTATAAGGATATGTCAACCTCATCATACCCTAATTTTATAAAATACGTCACATACTTAAAACATTGATACATAAATAAATAATACATAAAATCTTAGTAGTCTATTTTAATAAAGGGAATTATTGATACAAAAATATAGTAATTAAAGATTTTGCCATTCCGGAATGTGGTTCTGCGAGCAAACGACTTTTGTACAAAGTCTTCTGTTAAAGTTAGTATGTTTATGTTTTACTTTATAGCACCGTAAACGGTGCTTAAAGTGTTTACTTTAAGTACCGTTTTTACTTTATAGTATTTAATAGCAGTATGAAATTTAGAATACACTATATGTACTAGTATAGCATTATATTATCTGTGCTATATGGGATGAAGAAGGATATAGTCTACTTTGATTTATTTATTTATTCATTAGTACAAATATGTGTACATGGCGGACTTAATGCTAAAAGCAGGGGGGAAAGGGATTGTTAGTAATGGAGACTGAAAATCCCATTGCTAGCAATATACCCAACCAGGTCGACCTCCTCGCGGTTCCCCCTGGAAACTATCATGGTTAATTCCTGATGAATTCATCATGATGGGCTAACTGGCCTGTTTTCATTCTCATCTATCACCCTTCAATGGTGCTCCGCCAGCGTATCCAGTTAGCGCAGGCGGGGTTACCATACCATTTTCACCCATCAAAAAAAAAATGCTAAAAGCATTCTCTCCCAGTCAACCATAGGGAAGTGTCAGAATACTCGAATGCGGTACTACTAATTATTGATATACATACATACTAAAATTACATATATAAACGAGTGAATATATATAAATTACAAATATACTTACACATATATGACATATACTATATTATACACGAAATTGAGAATAATATAAAGCATCCTCCTCAAATAATAAATCAAATCATCCTGATAAGTAAACATATCCTGGCCACGTGGACGAAGTCACGGTTGAAGCCAGTAAATATATAATTTTAAATTTTTTATCAAGGCCTATATAATAAGTAGCGGAAGGAACATAATAATTGTCATTATATTTACGAGTACATATTAACCTTGGTAAATACATTGTCCTACATACAATATGGTAAAAGATATTAAGATATTGTCAGCCGGGCATTTTCCTTATATAATTAAAAAGATGGAGGAGGCCTTCACCCAAAGAGGGGTCCATATCCAAGAATCGAAGAAAGAATTACACTAACAATTAGTTATTAGGAAAAAATATTTATAATTTTTCTTAATAACAAATTTTTTTAGATTCGAACTCTTTTTAGATACTAACAATACTGTAAAAATATTAGGAATATGGTAATAAATAAAAGGTTTTATTATTATTATTATTATTAATAATTAAAGTTTATGTCCCACAAAAAAACCGACTTTATTTGTGATAAACCAATTATTTTGATTTAAAAACTAAACTACTAAACCGATTTTGATAAAATTTCTATGAGACCAATCTGTAAGTACATCCTTTCAGATAAAAAAGAATTTTCCAAATCGGTTTACAACTGACGGAGTTATGAGGTAACAAACACAAAAAAATGCGTGTTTACAAGTACATATAATACTATTATCACTATAAGCACAGATAATATAATACTTTCTATAAGTTATTATAAGTCAACCGACTTAAAAAAAGGAGCATCTCAATTCGGTTGTATTTTTTATTTAGTATATATATTAATTAACCGACACCCTCAATATACAGGTTGATATCGGTTTGTTTTTGCAACAAAAATTATTTTTAAAATAACATTTCTTTTGGTATTTTATTTCGGAAACATAATTATGTATCTACAATAAGCAGAATTCTGTTTCACAAATAAAAAAAACAATGACTACAATCTTCATAAAATATATTTATGTTAATTTTTAAACAAAGCATTGGACTTACTCACACCTATCCCACTCAACATCGATATTAATTGCAAAAACAATTACAAACTTTGGTTCAGAATTGGAAAAGATATCGCGTGACATATAAACAAAAAAAAAAATACAGACAAAATTAGAACCTCCTGTATTTAGTGGTGAGTGATAACTCTGCTTACCGGCACAGCATCTTGTTGATATCTCGCTGGTATTCCTCTGTGGCTACCTGACATTTCCTTATTTGATTCAATTCCTCTTGTTTTGCCCGTTCCTGTAAGTTTTGAAGAATGATTTTTGGTCGGCAAAACGCGCGTAATACCTCTGGTATTGCAGGTGTTCATGGGCTACGGTAACCACTTACCATCGGGTGGGCCGTATGCTTGTTTGCCACCTCAGTGGTATAAAAAAATGTATTAATCACCAATCCGATTTTCATGTCAACCATTAAAATTCCACAGCTGAATATAGCCTTCTCCTTATTGGGAGGATTTACCAGTAGTTGCCGCGCTTGGCAGACGCATTAGTAACTGCAATTAGGCTTTGGTGATCTCTTAAGGGGAATGCTTCTGCCCACCCCTCAATTTTTGGGTCCACTTAGTCGCCTCTTACGACATCCATGGGAAAGGAAGAATCCGACCTTGCTTTGATATTATGAGTATAATAAAATTATAATGTTAAGTTACAACATTCTATATTAAGTAAGCAAGTTAAGTGGCCGTGTGGTCCCGGCATAGAATAGGCCATCCCTTCCTTTCCTGTGGGTGTCGGAAGAGGCGACTAAGCGAACCTAATATATAGGTAGAGGGATGGGCAACAGCGTGCCTCTTAAAAAAATCTCTAAAAGCCTAATTGCGGTTGGTTTCCAGGTGGTTTCCTAAATGGTTTCCAGGGGGAACCGCGTGGTGTTCGACCTGATGAATGCACCCTGCATTGCTGGCAATGGCTCAGTTAAACCCCATTACTAACAATCCCTTCCCCCCTATAGTCGTATGGTTCCGGCATAGAAAAGGCCACACCTTCCTTTTCTATGGGTGTTGTAAGAACTTAATGATAGAGAGATGGGCAGAAGCGTTCTTCCTAAAACATCTCCAAAAGCCTAACTGCGGTTGCCAACCCACTTGCCTAGTGTGGCAACTACTGACAAAACTTTCCTTATAGGAAAAGCTTACATTCAGCAGTGGACAGTTAACGATTGGAATGATGATGATGATGAAGGTAAACAAAATATTTTTTTTAAAATGAATTAATAAATAAAAAAAAATCATCAAAAGACTAACATACTATAATAATTATATGGCGACTTGGTCGCTTAATAAATCCATACGAATTGAAAATTGAAAAGAAAGAAGATTTTTTTTAAAGTCGATTAAAGAAGCTATAACGCTACCGCTTACCTTCAAAGTCTTGTTATACTCGATCTGATCCAACAGTTCCCTCTGATGAGTCTTCCGTGCCTGTGCATCCACCACTTCTTTATGGTCGACCAGCTGTTGTAGTTGAGTGAAAAGCTGTCTATGGTACTCGTCTTGCTCCTCTATCTTCTTTCTGAGGGTCTCGCGAGCCTCTTGCCTATCTTTGATTTGGTCTATCATTGCTTTGCGTACGTCCTGTAGGTAGTTAAGAACTATTATTTATTTATTTATTTATATTTACCAACTAAAAGAGCTTGACAACTTCCCAATTCGCTCCCTTAGCAATCACAATATATACAAACATAATACCATTCATTTATTGGACATTTTCTAAATAACTTTTTGTCCAAAATCAAAAAGTTGGCCAATTTTTGAGACTCGAGGCTCTATCTATATAGTCTAAGTTCTTACCTTATTAGTCTTCTGCGCCCACGCGAGATATTCGCAACGTTTCTTGTCAACGTGCTCTTGTATCCTGCGAGCTTCCTGCTCGAACATATGATCGTCCGCTGTCTCCATTCTCGCCATTTCGTGTTTTAATTCCGCCATTTTGCGATTACATTCGTCTAGTTCTCGCTGTAATATCATTTATTAGTATTAAATACAGTTAGTTACGGGAGTCGGTGGATGCAGGTGGCTCAGGACGGTTCTTTATGACAGTCTATGGGGGAGGCCTATGGTCAGCACTGGACGGATAATGGGTCAGATGATGATGAAGGACAGCTACGGTCTTTTTTATGTAACTCCACTTGTATTATCAGTATACGTTAGCGGGACATCAGTGAGAGATGTTGAGAACGGAAACAGCTCAGTTAGCCTGTCGCGTTGCGTTGTGACGAATTTTACAATAATAAACCACGACAGTTTCCAGGGGGATCCGCGTGGAGATTTTTTTTTATACCACTGACGTGGTAAACAAGCATACGGCCCACCTGATGGTAAGTGGTTACCGTAGCCTATGAACACTTGCAATACCAGAGGTATTACGCGTGCGTTGCCCACCCTGAAGAAACCTCTTTACCCCCCTTTTGAAGAGCCCCATGCTGTAGTCTCTTGGGAAAACCTCAACCTGATAGAGTATATTGTTAGCTATGGGGTTCTTAGATTATAATACTAACAATCTCTTTCCTCCCAAGAGACCATAATTATATTAAAGAAGTACTCTAGCAGAGAGAAAAGTCGCTTTATCTCTAGGGAATTATATCTCACCATACCCAACAGAAAAGTGCTGGGGGGAAAGGGATTGTTACTAGTATAGTATTATATTATCTGTGGTAATGGGGTCAAATAGCCCCATTACTAGCAATATACCCTGTCAGGTCGAACTCCACGTGGTTCCCCCTGGAAACCATCGTGGCTAATTCTAGTTGAATTCGTCAGGATGGACTAACTGACCTGCTTTCATTCTTATCCGTCATCTATCACTGGTGCTTCGTCATTGTATACCGATAACGCAGACGGGGTTACCATACCATTATCACCCATTAAAAAAAAAACAGAAAAGTGCTCAGATATATATTTATTTATATAAATGAATAAAAAATATTACCTCTTTCTGCTTGCGTAACTCTATTTTGGCCAGTTCATCGGCGCGGCCCTGTCCCGCGAGAGAGTCCCACGCCTCCGTGATGAATTTCATCTCCGCCGCTTGCTTGGCGAGCGATTCCTGACGCTCCGCAATCATCTGTCTACGTTCGAAGGCTGTCTCTTTGCGTTTCTCGGCGCGCTCGCGTTCAGCTGCAAATAAAAAAAAACAGATAATAAATGTATATATATATATATACACTCCTCGCAAAAATTAAGGGAACATAAAAATTTTTGAAATTTTTGGGTGATTTTCAACAGGCTGTATTTCAGTGAAAAATAATCGTACAGGAAATTTAAAAAAAGGATTTTGAAGCTTAAAAACTCTAGTTTTCAGATTTTTTGGTGAAAAAATTTTTTGAGCTCCGGTTTCCATGCAATTCTTAAACAAAGCTGAAAATATTTTTTTTTCTAAATTTTCTAGGTTTCGTTTTTCACTCTATGGGCATGGAAAAATTTTTTCGAGCTACTCCATTGTATAGGTCTCTTAGCGTGTTTATTCAGCTTCAAAAATCGCTTTGGATGGCTCAATTACGACCATTTGTCTCCGAGATATCGAACTTTGAATGCAAAAGCATCCTTTTCCATTCAACTGCTAATATCTCTGGAACTACTGGTCGCACAGCAAGCGGGCGCCGAGTTTCTTTATCTGCATAAAATTTTCTTGATTTTTTTCGATTTTTTTTTGATAATGAATTTTTAAAAAACAAAAAATTGAGTAAAAAGTGAAAAACAAATGAAATTATTGATTTTTGAATGGATTAGGGTGAGTTTAAGGGACAAAAACCTTGTTCTCTTATTTTTTCCAAAATTTCAATCAATTGGTCCGGGAAAAACCGTTAAACCGATCACTCCAGGGATTTAGGGGGTTCTTAAAGGAACAATAGACTGTAAAATTTTCCTCAAATCTTAGCTTTCCCGCCCATATTAGCGAAGATACAGCCAAGTAACCAAAAAAGGAGAAAAAGTCACTTTTTTCCACTTTTTTCAATTCAATGTTAGAGGTGGAAAAAAATTTTTTCTTCACTAACTCTTGACTGTGCTTAATTGGAAATTTTATGCAGATAAAGAAACTCGGCGCCCGCTTGCTGTGCGACCAGTAGTTCCAGAGATATTAGCAGTTGAATGGAAAAGGATGCTTTTGCATTCAAAGTTCGATATCTCGGAGACAAATGGTCGTAATTGAGCCATCCAAAGCGATTTTTGAAGCTAAATAAACACGCTAAGAGACCTATACAATGAAGTAGCTTGAAAAAATTTTTCCATGCCCATAGAGTGAAAAACGAAACCTAGAAAATTTAGAAAAAAAATATTTTCAGATTTGTTTAAGAATTGCATGGAAACCGGAGCTCAAAAAATTTTTTCACCAAAAAATCTGAAAACTAGAGTTTTCAAGCTTCAAAACCCTTTTTTTAAATTTCCTGTACGATTATTTTTCACTGAAATACAGCCTGTTGAAAATCAACCAAAAATTTCAAAAATTTTTATGTTCCCTTAATTTTTGCGAGGAGTGTATATATATATATATATATATATATATATATATATACATGATATGTATAGAGATTTTGTATAATAGTTTGTATAAATATTTATATTTTTTTTATTTATTTGCTGATTATGATATACTGTTATATATTCTACTATTCCTCTCTTTTTTTTTTTACAACACAGGGGACAAACGAGCATGCGGCTCACCTGATGGTAAGTGACTACCGCCGCCCATGGTCATCCACAACACCAACGGTATTGTAGGTGTGCTGCCGGCCATATAGTATTAGATACTTGCCGACAATATAGCTTTCTATACGTGAAAGTATTTTTAAAATTAATTAAGTAGTTTTTGAGTTTATTCATTACAATAAACATATAAAAAATTAAACTTTCCCTCTTTATAATATTAAAAAATAATAATGAAAAAAAAAAAGATATATTATAAAACTAAATAACAAAGCAAAAATTTGGTATAGTAACCTAACCATAGCGGGGGGAAAGAGATTGTTAGTAATGGAGTCTAGTTTCCCCATTACTAGCAATACACCTTATCAGATCGACCTCCACGTGGTACTCCCTGGAAACCATCGTGCTAAATTCCAGGTGTATTCATCACGATGGGTTAACTAACCTACCTTTTCATTTTTACCTATATTATCTTTCAGTGGTATCCTACCAGCGTATACCGATAGCGCAGGCGGGGTTACCATTCCGTTATCATTCATTAAAAAAAAACATAGTAACATGCAGTAAATTGAGCGCAAATATTTTATCAAAATCGATCCAGAATTGGCGCATAAATGAATGAAATCAGCAACTAACATGTCATTAGTCTTACCTTCTTCCTCTTTCTTCATATCAGCCTCCCACATGGCCTTCATCCTCAGCGTCTCCTGTTTCAATATCTCCTTCTCCTTCTCTCTCTGCTGCCGTCTCTGTTCCAGTTGATGGTCAGTATACTCCTTGCATTCTCTGTCGCGACGGTACCGCTCGATTGCATCTTGTTCCATTCGAGCCGCCTTGAGCAAGAATTATTGAAATTACCTTATTAATATTATTATTACAAATATATTTATTGTATTGGAAATAAACTATATATCTATCTAAAATGTTGGTACCAACCAGAGCGTCAGCTTCCTTCATGGCGACCTCGTGCCACATCTTGTCGAATTCTCTCTCCGCCATTTTCATTGCTTGCTTCTCCCTCATTTGGTACAGTTGTATCTGCTCAGCTTCTTTGGCGCGCAGCTTGAAGATAGAGGGCAGCACGTGCACGCATTTCGAACTATATTCGAAATTTCGACTTATTAACCAACTACCCACCGATGTATGGGATAATATTACCATTAATAACATCAAGTGTAAATTAAAACAATACTTCTTTTTTTTATACAACTTATAATGGCAAACAAGCTGACGGCCCACCTGATGGAAAGTGGTAACCGTCGCCTATACACATGAGCAGTACCATGGACATAACAGAGTATACTGTTTCGCCCATGATACCCCCCATGCGTTGCCATTCCTGAAGACTCAGGTGTTATTCCTCTGTACCCAGTAAATTCACGCCATATCCCACCCTTCAAACCGAAACACAGCCATGCAAACACAACTGCTTCACGGTTGAAACACGAATGGGACAGAGGTACCCAAGCAATCGACATTTGTACAAAGTCTCCCTTTGGTAAAACTTCTTACATGATATTAATACAAGTTAAATACTTTTAAATGTATTTAGCATTAATATAAAGCTACGTGGTTTCTGAATGTTAATAGAACATATTTTCTGTAATTCTGTATAAAAAAAAAAAAACTAAACAATACACGACGGTGAAACGGATGTCATTAGCAATCTTTCAAGTAGGGTATTTGTTCTTTTTTCTTTCTTTTTTTTTTTCTTTACTTCAAAAAGAAGGAAATTCTCAATTGTGTTGTATTTTTTTACGTTTGTTACTTCACAACTCCGTCAGTTCTAAAGTGATTTGTATTTTTTTATAAAAAAAAATTTTAGTCCAATTTTATCAAAATCAGTTCAGTAGTTCAGTTTTAAAATCAAAACTGGTTTTGTCACAATTGTAGTCGATTTATTTTTGTGGGACACGATCTTTCTTTTTTCTTCTAGTGAAACTGGTTTTTTTTCAAAGGAACATGGCTCGAAATACAATTAGAAATTTGGCCCGAAATTATCTTTAATTACAAAATAATCACCAAAAATGACAACTCTCGATACTAGCGCCATCTAGTATTTCTTGTTCTTTGTTTAGTGACCAAGCACCTTAGAGATAAGATTTAGAGAAACAGCGCCTCAGAATCGACCGGAATGACTGTATAAAAGTCGCTTGCATGGGCAATACTAACAGTGGGGTATCTTTATATTTCTCCTCGTGTTCTTTCTTGCGTTTCTCGAGCAAGTATTTAAGACGGTTCTGTTTTTCTTGCCAGATCGCTTCCGCGCCCGCCTGCGCTTGTTCCACAAACTTGCGGATATTTGCCTCTTCTTCTGCGGACAGGAGATCTAATAATCTGTGGGTTAGTTTAACCATAGATATCACTACCACGAGACTATGTCATGGAGTTCTTCAAAAGGAGCGTAATAAGTGTCTTCAACGCGCGCGTGACACCTTTTGTGTTACAGGTGTCCATATGTTTGCCGTGTGCTTGTTTGCCACTATAGTAGTATTAATAAAAAAAAATTAATAGAATGAACTTTCGAAATTTGTATATATTTGTATTTTTATCTTTTTTTCTCAACGTTTTCTACCTAAATGTTGTAGTAAATGAGATTGCTTAGCGATAAGGACTGCGCTTTGTATAAATTTACATATAGTATTACAGATATTATTGTTGGCCGTATAGTCCCGGCATAGAATAAGCCATCCCTTCCTTTCCCGTGGGTGTCGTAAGAGCCGATCATATGGGCAGCAGGGTCCCTTTTAAACGTCTCTAAAACCTGACTACGGTTGCCAATCTGCCTGCTAAGCATGGCAACTACTGGCAAAACTTCCCAAGAGGGAGGCTTATGTTCAGCAGTGGACAGTCAAAGGCTGATATGATGATTATTATAGATATTATTATCACCTGTTATCGCATACTGGTACCTCGTTAGCTTATTCCGTTAACACAGGTTTACCATTCCATTATCATCCATTACCTATGGCTAAACTAAATACCTAACCGTTTTTGTTTCCGTTTGAGATCTTCTTGATATGAAGCCATGCAGAGGTCGACGCGACGCGCCACATTGTTGATAAGAGATCTGAGGAAACAATAAAAAAATATTATTTAGATATATAGTTTTTTTATGGGTGAAAATGATATGGTAACGGTAACTCCGCCTCCGCTAATGGGATACGCTGGCGGAGCACCAGTGAAGGTTGATAGATGAGAATGAAAACAGGCCAGTTAGCCCATCACGATGAATTCATCAGGAATTAACCATGATAGTTTCCAGGGGGAACCGCGAGGAGGTCGACCTGGTTGGGTATATTGCTAGCAATGGGATTCTCAGTCTCCATTACTAACAACCTTTCCCCCCAATTTAGTTATATTATCAATGTGATAAAATTGTAACTTAATGATGTTTGTGCATGGAAGATTTAAAAAAAAAATATATGGGAAGTCTCAATAAGACTAATAGATGACAAAGCAATATTTTTAGAAATTTCACTTAAAACTGCATAGAAGTTGACCTAACTGAATTTAAACTAATCCCGTTGATTGCTTTTATTAATAATTCCCCCAATTTTTGGGCTGATTAAATAGAGTCTTAACACCTAAATAGAGATGTCACAGTGTATTTTGTGATGATCGTAGTGGTATTCAGGTTTGTAGATGTGGCTACCACTTTCGTCGTCAATTGGTAAAAATCTATTATTTTTTTATACCACGCAGGTGGCAAACAAGCGTATAGCCCGTCTAATGGTAAATGGTGACTGTAGGACATGGATGTCTACAACACTAGGGGTGTCACGTTGTTGCACGCGTTGCTGACTCTGAGAAAACCTTAATATACCTTTTTGAGAAACCCCATACTATAATATTTAGGAAAAACCGCTGCAGGGAGCTCATTTCACAGCCTGAACTGTGATCTGTTTATCTATCTCCCAAAACATTTACCTCCGATCGCAGCGTATGAAAAAATCACTGTATTGCTGATCCTTGAGCTCTTTTAGTTTGTTTGCAGCTCCTTTGCGTTGTTCCTCTTCTTCGGCGCGAAGTTTCTTCACGAACTTCACGTAACGGAACGTAGAGTTCAACACGCGAGACGTCTGTAATAATTTAAAATGTTAATACAGTAATATCTCGACATATGATCGCATCTCTGTGCATCTTCTACCGAATTTATCATGGGGAGTGTTCTGAGGAATTGTTCGGATTGATACCTGCTGCTGATTTTCACCACCGTACAACCCGCCACAAACTAAAGTTTCATCCCAATCATCTGGACGAGTGGCGGTCTTCCACCGTGCGTTTTTCAAGGCACTTTCTTCCACGCACAACCATTCTTTGGAATCAACTTCCAGCAGCAGTATTTCCGAACTGATACGACAACATAACCTTCAAGAAAAGAGTATATTCCTTTTTAAAAGGCCGGCAGCACACCTGCAATGCCGCTGGTGTTGTGGGTGATCATGGGCGGCGGTAGTCACTTACCATCAGGTGAGCCGCATGCTCGTTTACCCCCTGTGTTGTAAAAAAAATATGAGGGATTTTTAGATACTAAGATGGTAAGATTGTTTCACTGGTAGAACACTTAGTGTCGTAGTATACTTTTGCTCAAAGAAATATGAGTTGAAAGTACCCGTAACCGGCGAGCGTGTATGAAAAGATTGATGAATGTGGAAGAAGCGAAAGTGGTTTGTTTGAATCGAAGCATTTGGCGTTCCATTGTTTCTGCCTACCCTAATGGGAGACGGGCGTGACGGATATGTATGTATGTAAATATGAGTTGGAGAACGACAAAAAGCTGATTGACTCCCATACTAAATCTGTTGGGTGGTAGTAGTGGCTTTTTTATGCGACTTAGAATGGCAAACAAGCTGACGGAAAGTGGTATTTTGTTAATTGATGATAATGGTATGGTAACCCCGTCTGCAGTAACGGTATACGCTGGCAGAGCACCAGTAAGAGATGATAGGTGAGGATGTAAATGCAGGGCAGTTAGCTCATCGTAATGAATACACCTTGAATTCAGCACGATAGTTTCCAGGGGGGACCATGTAGAGTTCGACCTTATAGAGCATATTGTTAGCAATGGGACTGGTAGTCCGCATTACTAACCATCGCCTATAGACATGAATTGTGCCATAGATATAACAGAGTACGTTGTGACTTACGCGATTTTTAAATGTTGTCACCATTGTTAGGCTAACGTGCATATTCGAACGTGTCCCGCGAAATTGCTGCACAGAAAAGAGCTATCGTCCGTGTGGTCCCGGCATAGGATAGGCCACCTCTTCCTTTCCTGTGGGTGTCGTACGAGGCGATTAAAGGAACTTAATTTTAAAAGGATGGGCAGCAGCGTTTCTTTTACAACATCTATAAGAGCGTAACTATGGTTGGCAACCCGCTTACCTAGCGTGGCGACTACTTTAAAATTAGTAATGAACACACTGTGTTTTTTGTCGTTTCCGACAATTGTTTCGACGTCATCATAAATAAATAAATATTTTTTCAGGTACTTACATAGTAACAGTCCGGCACGCCCCTAGGACCGGGCCCATCTTTAGGGATTTTCTGTCTTGGAGCCTGAGGTGGCTGCTCAAACATTTCCAGTTATTTATAAAATAAAAAAAATCAATATCAAAATGGCAATTGGTTAAATTTACAATTTCAATTATTTAATTAAGATTTCAATAATAGATCTAAAAGTCAAAGGTGACAATTTACTTTCTAAAAAGATCAATATGGAACGTAGGTTCAATCCTTTATCTCAATTAACATTAAAAAAGGATTTATTTTTTATTTGCAATAGATTAACTCTAAAAATAGTAAACGGAATTTGTGAATTCTTTAATCTATAGAAAGCTGCATTATCAGTGTAGGACATGGGTTGAATTATGTTTAACAAATAGAGATGGTTTACCTATTTAGTCGTATCTGCATGAAATCGGGTAAGTCGTTAGCCTATGGACAATGTTGCCGTATGATTAATCCTTAATCTATGAATCTTAAGCCATATTTTGTTCAAGTGATCTTTATTATTTATCTATTTAAATAATAAAGACCACTTGATACAAATTATCAGAAAATAACATATACAATACGTATTCTAGAAACGTGGGCTTTCCCTCGCATTCCCATGCTTTAGATTTTACCAGTAGTTTCCACATTTGGCAGGTAATTTAACTTACATTTTTATTATACTAAATAAAATTTGGCCTATATAGGGCCAAATTTCATGTTTCCCGTGGGTGTCGTAAGAGGCGACTAGGTGAGGGCGAGAGAAGGGCAGCAACGTCCCTCTTAAACATCTCTAAAGTGGTCTCATCTGACTGCGGTTGCAAATCCGCCTGCCAAGCGTGGCAACTACTCCCCCCAAAGGGGAATGCTTGTGTTTATTAGTGAACAGTTAAAGGCCGATATTGTGATGATGACGATGATATATATATATATATATATATATATATATATATATATATATATATATATATATATATATATATATATATTGCCAGGTTTTAGTTTTTATTGACAAATACAAAACAAAGTGTTTTCAAATTTTATTTAATCAACTCTTTAACAATCTTTAAAAAAACAACATCCAAAAGCAATTAACAGCTTAATGGCACAACTGGTAATACAACTTAACAATAGCTATAAAAATATGTTTATAAAAAAAAATCTCGTTCCTTATTACCTTGATTAACAAAAAAAAAAAAAAGACCAGACCAGAAAGAATATTACAAAAGTTGAAAGAGACTTATACAAAATTATGTCAATTAGATGTTTATTAATTTTAAATTAACAAACGAATTTAACCACTTTAAATGATTTAAAATTTACTACGTACAGTAATATTTTTAAAAGTAGAATATTGAAAAAATATTGTGTTAAAAATTTCATAAAAAAATTCAACACAATTTTCAAGTTCAATTTCAGTATAAAAAAAAATTAAACATAAACAAATCCAATGATGGCCGGTCTAATATTTCAATTCAAACATAGAATTATTATTAGAATCGAAAAAAAAAATCAACAAAACAAAAACATACCTGTCAACATGATTATAAATTTATAACAAAAGCAAAACAAATCTATAAAAACAAAAATTATACATAATAGTAATACTATTATTACTACATAAATCAGAGACTACAGTATGATTATACTATATTAATTAAAATTTATAGTCTCTGCTTAAATGAAAGAAACAATTTTTTTTTCTAAGTAATAATTATTTAACAAATTTTGATTTTGTCAAATTTCGGTAAGTAAGCGATACTGATTAATCTTATGTCTTAATTAAATTGTCTTTCTGTCAGACGTACATTGTAATGATTGATGAATGAATAATAACTAATTAAAGACAATTTTTATTGAAAGCGTAAAAAAGTAATTAAATATAAAAATCTTAATTTTTTTAACGTCGAAAAAAAAGTATATGGAACACGTTAATTCGGAATTCGAATTTCGAAAAGCTTAGGTTAAACTTAATATTAATAATATAAATGCAACTTATAATTAATTAATTAAAAAAGGAGTAATCGAATAGGAACAAAACATAAGTTTACTGGTTGTTTTTTTTTCTTTACTTTTGAAGCTGATTAATTTCCTTTAATTTTAAGTATAATTAAGGAGAATGTGTTATTTTATACTCGCGAAATGTCTTTGCCTTCTAACGTTCCTAATAAAATTACTGGAATTAACAACTTATGCATAA